TGATCAGGTCTTCTATAGCATTGCTGATTTTATGTACATACCTTCTATCAGTTATTGAAAGAGGAGTATTATAATCTGAAGTTATAATGGTGGATTTTTCTAGTTAGTTTTGAAGCTCTTTTAGTTTTTGCTTCATATACCTAAAAGATCAGTTTTTAGGTTCAGAAATGTTTAGATTGTTATGCTCTATTGATAAACTTTAAAATGATCTTTACCTCTAGTAACAGTCTTTCCTCTGAAATCTACTTTGTTTGATATTAAAATAGCTACTCTGGCTTTCTTTGGACTAGTGTCAGCATGGAATATCATTTCCCATTCTTTGATTATTTCAGCCTAGCCTTTTTAGCCTGTCTTTTTATTTAAAGTGGCTTTCTTAGAGGCAATATATGGTTAGGTTTTGCTTTTTTATCCAATCTGATAATCTCCGCTTTCTTTTGGGTGGTGTTTAGATTGTTTACATGTAATCTGATTATTGATGTGGTTGGGTTTAAGTCTATATCATTTTACTGTTTTCTACTTGTCTGACCTGTTCTTTGTTGCTCTTTTTCTGTCTCTTTTAGATTAACTGAGTGTTTTTTATGATTCCATTTTATCTCCTTTGTTGGCTTATTAGCCATAACTCTTAGTTTTGTTATTGAGTGGTTCCTGCAAGGTTTATAATATACATCTTTTACTTGTTACAATGTATCTTCAATTGACATACTGCTTCACATAAAGTATGAGAACCATACAAACAGTATACTTCAATTTCTCCCTTTCTGACTTTTGTGCTATCATTTTAACACATTTTACTTCTGCATATATCATAAATCCCACAGTATATTGTTTTTTTCTCTTTAAAACAGTCCATTATCTTTTAAAAATTTACTTACTGAAATATAAGTCATATACCATACAATTCACCATTTAAAGTATACTATTTAATGGTTTTTAGTATATTGAGATAGGTACAACCATCAAAACAGTCAATTTAAGATTATTTTCATCACCTGAAAACAAAACCCTGAATCTGTTAGCTACCCCTCCCCCCATGCCCCGACCCCACTCCTCCCCCTGCATTAAGCAACCGCTAATATCCTTTCTGTCTCTTTGGATCCTGATTCTGGATTTTCATATGAATGGATTCATATAGTATGATTTCCAGTGACTAATCTCCTGTTATCTTCATCTTTGTTCCTCTTGACAGAGTGTATCATTTTTTCCTCTGACTGTACTTTAAGATTTCCTTTTTAATCAACTGATTTCAAGCAATTCAATTATTTTATATCTTAGTGTAGTTTTCTTCATGTTTCTTGTGCTTGGGTTTGTTGAACTTCATGGATCTGCTGGTATATAGCTGCCATCAACTTTTGAAAAATTTTGGTCATTATTTCTTCAAAGTGAATTTCCCCTCTGCCTTCTGGGGACTTCAATTGTATATATACTTGGTTGCTTTAAGTTGTGCCACATTTCACTGATATTCTATTTATTCTTGGTTTTTAGTTTGTTTCACTCTGTGTTTCATTTTACATGTTATATGTTGCTATGTCTTCATGCACTTTTCATCTGCAATGTGTAATGTCATTAATCCCATCCAGCATATTTTTCAATTTACACATTCTAGTCTTCACGTCTAGAAGTTGGTTTGGATTATCTGATATGTTCTGTTTCTCTACTTAACATGTTTAATCTTTCCTCTAGCTTCTTGAACACATGGAGTATAGTCATACTAACCATTCTAATGTTTTTTGCTATTAATTTCACCATCTATTTAATTTCTCTGTCAATTTCAATAGTTTTTTCTCCTCATTATGGGTTATGTTTTTCTTCTTCTTTGCCTGTGTGGAAATTTTTTACTGGATGCCAGATATTGCCCATTTTGCCTTATTAGATAACTGAGTATTTTTACATTCCCATAAATATCCTTGAGCTTTGTTCTGGGATATAGTTGTGTGGAAATCATTTGAGATTTTCAGGTCTTGCATGAGCAAAAGTTTTGTTAGTTGGGGCAAGAAAGGGCTTAGTCTCGGGTTAATTTTCCACTACTACTGAGGCAAGACCCTTTTTATTACTTTCATATAGGATTTGTCAGCCTCAGTACTATTGGTATTTTGGGGGTCGATAATTTCTTGTGGTTGAGGGGGCTGTCCTGTGCACTGCAGGGTGTTGAACAGTGTCCCTGACCCCTACGTACTAGATCCCAGGAGCACTCCCTGAGTTGTGACAGCCAGAAATGTCTCCAGATCTTGCCAAATTCCCCCTTGGGGACAAAATTGCCTTCCATTGGGAACCACGGCACTGACTGATGCTTCCCTGCATTATGAGACTTCCCATACTGACTGGACAGCAGGTATTATTCCTGACTATATGTGCTTTCTGGGCTCTGCTCCCTGTAACCTTTTTTATGGTTATTTCCCTGGTCTTGTGTAGTTTCATTTGCTTCATTATAATGTCAGCTGCATGAAGGCAGGGATTCTTACTGAATTTCCAGTACTTAGGACAGTTCCTGGCATCCCAATAAACATTTGTTGAAAGATGTAAGAAAACACTTAGCATAGTGCTAGTCACAGAGTAAATGCTCAAAAACTAGAACCAAGTACAGAAGAAAGTACGTGAGGAGACTTATTGGCAATTTTTTACCACCACCGTGATGATCATTGCTATTGTCATTGTCGATTTCCCTCTACTGGAATGAAAGCCCCATGAGAATGGGGGTCTTGTGTTTGGTTTACTGCTATATCCCTAGTGTGTATAACTGTGCCTGGCACATGGTGAGTACTTGTAAATACATATTGAATGAGTGAATGAATCCCAGTTATGGTACATGTTTGGGTGAAGCTGCTGAGTGGTCCCAGACCCTCTGGAGCTCTCTGGCTCCTCGCTTTTCCAAGCCTGGTTCTTTAGTTTTCCTGTGATCTTGTGAGCTTCCCTATAGCCTTCCAATACATTCTCAGTTTTGCTTGAGGTACTCAGAATCCTTTTTGATTGCTTACAGTCAAAGACCTCCAGCTGAGACAGCAACCTATAGGAATGTTTCTCTCAGATCTGGAGCACTGTGTTGTCAATATCAGTGGAGGACCAAGGGGGCATGATCTGAGATGTGATCTCTGTGAGTTGTTGAAATTTGTACTGCTATGATGACTAACACAATTTTGTCACTATTTGCTAAAATATTGGCATTTCTAGGACATTTGAGGGGTTTGTGGGGATACTATCCAGTAGGATATTTAAAAACAAGACAGTCCTGGGAAAAGGAAGCCTGACGTTTGCTTCAATTGTTACTTATTTGGCAAGGACTCAGAGTCTCTCGACATACTGTCCCATGTACCTGGCTGCTTTCTGTCTCTAGGGTGATTACACACGTATGAAGGGTAGTTGTAATCCTGTCTTGAGAGCAGAAATCTATGACTTGTATTTTGGATGCATAGTGGATCACAAAATTTAACATCAGAAGACTTCAGGGTGGATCTGTTCCTCTAGCTCATTGGCTGAAGCAGTGTCAAGTTCATTCTTCAAGTAGCTTTGTTGATACAGTGCCAATGATATGAAGAACAATGCTTAGAACACTTGCCAAAGTCCCAGCCCTCTCTGTGACTGCCTCACACTTTTTTCATGACACCATTCCTGAAGGTATCATGAAATGCTTCATTCCCAGATCAGTATTAGTTTAATAGGCACCACCCATTTATTTTCTGTGCTTCCTTAAATCCCTTAAAAGTATAAGCACTAAAATGATCAGGAACTAGGTGATCAGGTTGCTTCATTAAAGGCTCCTTAGTGGGAAAACAGTTGTTAAAATTCTACAAAAAGATGGATTCTTTCTCTCCGTCTAGGTATATACCCCAGTGGGTCTATAAGCGGGTCCCCTCTTCACTGTTATTATTCAGCTTAATCTGAAACTATTTACTAGCTCCCCTTCTTTCAGATTATTGCCATCTGGGCTGTTAGCATTTCCTCCAAAAGATTAGTAATCAAGCGTGTGCAGAAAGGATTTATAAATATGTAGGGTCTGTGTTCCCCTGGGTTAACCTAAATATTAGGTTCCTGTACCTCATCCTCTTATGCTTCCAGAAACATTATCATTTCCTGAAATAAAGCAAAAAAGTCAAACTCAGAGAACTAGTAAGATCTTTCTTTGGTGGTTTCCTAGGACTAGTGTAGGAGGGAAAAACAGATTTCCTGGTAGATGAGTTTGTGGTGTTGTAATGCCTTAAATAGAAGGCTTGAAGCCAAGTACGTAATTGAGCAAAGCTCACTCCAGCACTGATGTATTAGTAGGAGTATCTAATCCCTTCTGAGTGAGTTTGCAACTGCAAGGCTATTAGCCGGGCATGGTTCCTCTAAATGCTAATTGCAATGCAACATGCTGGACTGCATCTTAGCCACAATGGGGGCAGTTATGCCAGGAACACTGCTCTCTACTCGACACCATATTGACCATCTTCCTGGACAGTGCTGCCTATTTCAGCGAACCGCTGGCTTGGAAGTTGTTTTTGTGTGACTTGTTAGCTGCTGGTCTTTCCGCCAAATCCTTTTCCCATGTGTGCACTTTAAAAGAGGAAGAGCCCAAGGCATTTGGGAGATTCAGCTTGATTATCTTGCTGCCAATCATTACAAACCCAAACATTTAGTTTGTGCCATCTCCAGCTCCAGGTTTCTTAGACTCTTTCTGGCGGAACACAGATGGTGCTCCATTTCACACGTTCAATGGGTGGTCTGGCATTATTATTTGTCCTGGGAGCAGGACAAATTCAGACTGTGTAACAGACCTGTAATTTTCCCAAGCACTTCTTCTCCACCCTGGGAACCCATCTTCTGCAGAGCTTGCCATCTGGAGTGGAGATCTTTGAAGCGGCAAGGCAGTAGCTTACTGTGTACTCTCATCTGGGCTTTGTGGATGACAAGGGTCTTTGGAGGAACCCAGAGAAGGCTTGGGCTGGTGCTTGGCAAAGTGATAAGCAGAAGACTTGGTGTTTAACATTATCACACTTGCTCTTTTCACTACGCCGTCTACTGTCTAGATACCTGGCCTCCCACCTCATTCAGCAAGGAAAAGCTCCACACTGGCTGTGAATCGGGGACGTGAAGGAAGAGAAAGAACCTGCCACGTGAAGACCTCAGGAAACCTGAAGTCAACTTTCTTTTGGTTGTAAGTGTCAGAAACCTTCCTTCTTAGGTTAAGCATGCAAGAGAATTTATTGGCAGGGTGCTGGGGTAACTCCCAGAATCAGTGGAATAGCTGCAGGGAACAAGGCTGCTCAGGAGGCTTCAAGGGTTCAAACTGGGGACTTGATAGCACCAATGAATGTGTGCTCACAGGCTAGTGTGGGCTAGTGCACGCGCTGTCTCTCTCTAACACACACACACACACACACACACACACACACACACACACACACACCCCTCTGCTCTTTTCTTACTGCCTCCATACTCTCCTATGCAGATAAGCTTTCTTTACCTGGTGTAGAACATACTATCTGACATCTGACACCCCTAGATTTACAAAATCCTAGCTTAGAGATCTCAGAGGAAAGAGAGAGCACCTTTGCTTTCTTGTTGGCAGTTGAACATCCTGAAGGAAGAATTCTGATTTTGAACGTGATCCCAGGTTTTAGTTGACCACAACTCATGACTTGGTATAATGTGACAGGCAGCTTAGGAAATGTGACCTCAGAGCTGCACTGATACAAGCAGATGGGCTAAAAAGATGTGATGGATCTGAAGTATTCTCTATTTTTTTTAAGAAGATGATTGAATTTATGATCCCTCTGAAGATCTGGAAACCATGAATTATGAGGTCAGTTTGAAGAAGCTGGGGATGATTCATGTAGAAGAGAGAAGCCTCAGGTAGCATTGGTTAAGGTGAGCTGGGGACATGAAAACTGTCTTCATATGATGAAGGAGGGGGGCTAGATTTACTGGCTGCTGTATATGGTGGAACTAACAGCAGTGCAGGGCAAGCAGTGAAGAGGATCGTGTAGTGGAAAGTTCATGGGTCTCTGAGTCAGGAGACTTAGACTTTGGTCTTGGCTTTGCCTCTGCCTGAATCTTCTCCTCTCTAGCAGTGATTCAGCCATGGCTTGGATCGGCTGGGCCAAGATTTAGATGAGCTTGCTAGGGTTGGGGGCCAGAGTCAGGGGAGCCAGAGGTGTGGGCCAGAGGAGGAGGCAAGTCTAAGTTCTTTCCAGAGGGTTGGAGACAACATCCAAGCCCCGGTATGAAGGTCAAGAGGTGGGAAGGAATCACAAGGATATTAGAGCGGGAGCACGTCAGAAGTGAGTGGGGCAGGTGGGTCTTAGGACATTGGAAAACATGAGTAGGTGCTTGCTGCTCACGTCTAGGGAGGTGAGGAGGCTGGCAGGGTAAATCCGTTTAAAGAGCCAGGGCAAGTCATTATCTAGCCATGTGCTGTTGGCCGACTCTCCTCCCTTATCCGGGCTTCAAGCTTCTCAGCTGGGAAGTAAGGAGGTTGAAATAATGACCATCCACTGGTTTTATGAGTTACAGGAAAGAAATCGTGGGTATTCTGTTAGAACAGATTTTTCTTTAATTAGAGCCGTCCACTTGAGCCAGCAACCTTGGCAAGTAAAGGGAGTTCCAGATTTATTAGCGGGATGAGGCCTAGATTCCGCATTTTCACCTCTTTTAAGGAGTAGTTCTTCTAGAAAGGGTGAGCGCATGCCCCTTTAGGTAGAGCTTTCCAGTGGCATCAGCCCCTGCGTGTTCAGCTGGCTTCTCCCAGGCAGAGGAGCCATCACAGGAATTGGGTGTTCTCTGTTTTGCCACAGTAGGAAGCAATATAAACACTCTTCAGAATTTTGCTGGTGAGATGATTTTTTTGTTGTTGTTTCTATCTCCTCTTTGGAAAATCTCCATGCCTATCTGATGCTTTTGCATGCATTGCAAACACCATCTGTTACAACCTGAGACACACATACTGCATGTAATTAGTAATATAAGCCAGTGTTGCAGTTGTACCTGGCAGGGGAAATTGACAGAACCACAACTTCCTCTGTAGGACTGACATGGTGAACAGGGCACTTGTGGTTTCTCTGAGCTTTTGCGTTCATCAGTTAAAGGTCTCTTTTGGCTGCTGTGGACACACTGCCTATTTGATTAGAAAATGGCCTTGAAGAAAATAGGTAGCTTCTCCTTAGAGCTGTTCGGTGCACATTCAGGAGGAAGTCCAAGCTGGGGGCTGTTTCAAGAGGCCCGAGGAGAACTCCTTGGCCAGGAAAGTCCAGGGCTGGGGGCAGAAGGTGTGGCTCTCTCTCTGCCTCCACCATCAACACCTCCGGAGTGGTAATGGAACTGGCACACTCCTGCCAACCAGCTTACCATAATAACTTCTTGGCCTCCCTGCTGCCCTCATCTTCCATGTGCACAATCACTGAAGCCTCCCAAGAGGTAGGAAAGAGTTTACTGTCTGTTACTCTTCTGGAGAAAACTGAAGCTCAGGGATGAGGTGACCTGCCCTGTATCCTAAGGGGCACAACTGGGACTGGAGCCCAGATTTTAGGCTCTTGCCCTCTGTCCTGTCTCATCTTTCCTTTACTCCTCTTCTGCTGCACCAGCTCTTTCAGCTCTTGGCTTATGGGAGGTCGTAAGGGCATCCTGAGGAATAGATTTTGAGGGTTTTACAGAGCCGACAAGGTCCACACAGGTGCCGAGTATGAGCATGCATGTTGGGGGTGGTAGAATCAACCTTCCTGGGGATGGATGCCCATTAGTGAGCTCTAGCTTCTGGTTTCCTCCCATTATTACAGGATGTTGCCCCTGTATAGAGGCTTCCTAGTTCTTGCTGCCACGGCTGTGCAGAGAGATAGCCATGGGTATTCCTTAAAGGCACAGATCGTGTGTTCTTTTGTGTGTCCCCAGAGGCTGGCTCAAGGCCCAGCAGCCAGCATGGCCAAGAGGGCCCTGAACATCAAAGAGGCAATGGTGGGGAAGGAGGGCCAGGGCTTTTGCTAGCTGGGGACTAAGGGTACAACTAACAAGACGGAGACAGAATTCCACCCCTCATGGAGTGGAAAGTCTAGGTGGGGAGATGCACTATGCATAAACAAACAGAAAGACACGATCACAAGCCATGATGAGTTCTTGGGATGAAATGGATATGCTCGACTGTAGAAAATTGTGGGTAAGGCAGTTACTCAGAATTGGTGCTCTTGCCTCTTGGAAGAGGTGCTGTTGAAGCTGAGATATAAGTGATGAGAAGGAGGTAGCCATTTAAAAAGTTGGGAAAAGCACTTTAGATCAGAGAACAGCATGAGTTGTTTCCTATTATTATGCTCATATATGTTCCTGCTGGAGAAAACTGTGGCCAAGGGGGTGTGAAAATATGCCTTGACTTTCACGGGGAAGCTAGAGGCCACAGTACAGGATTCAATGGCAAATGGCGGGTAGCCTGTGGGCATGGATGGTGCAGGCTTTGGCACTGCCTCACCACCTGCTGCTTCATATGCACATTGCCCCGTGGGCTATGAGGTTCCCACCTGAGTGAGGCCAGGACCATCGATGTGGACAGCTGCCTCCCATTAGTAATCTGAACAGGATTGCACTCGGTGCTCCTCAAGAGCCTTTCCAGCCTTAAGACCTTTAAGGACTTCAAGGGCTCCTGCTCTCGCTCTGTTCTTCAGCCCTTGATAATATCTCCACCCTGATTCATGGTAGGGCAAAACTCATCTGGCCAACAAATTTGGCAATACGTATCAATAACCACAGAATGTCCAGGAGTTTCACTTTTGGAAAATATATTCTAAGGAAAAGAATTCAAACTCTTTATGTGTACATTGCAGGGTTGTCCAAATGGGAAATTTGGAAGCTATCCAAAGGCTAACAGTCAAAGATTGGATAATTAGAAAATGGTAGTAATAATCTCAGCTGACATGTGCTATGGAGTTACTGCTGGTACCATGCTAAGTGCTTTTATGGTGTTGTCTCATTAAGCCTCAAAACAGCCCTGGTGGCGGACACTATGCTACTGTGACCCATAGTTTACAGAGCAGGAGCCTGAAGGCCAGGGGCTGGATCACTTGTGTAGGACCACGGAGCCAGTAGTAGTGGGGCTGCAACTGGAACCCAGTTCCATCCGACCCCAAAGCCAAGGCTTTGAACCACCTATGATGCACTTCTCTTTTTGTCTCTATCAAGTCCACTTCATGTGGTTCTCAAAATGATGATTGTAGTATGTGAAGATGCTTATAATTGTATGTGAAAAAAGTAGGATGTGGAATTGTAGATATGATTAGCAGCATTTATTTATAACCAAAAAGGCAGGAGGAAATATTTCAATGTTAACATTGGTCATTTTGGGATGAAAGCTCAATAGCCACAGGGATGAAAGCACAGCATAGAGAACATAGTCAGTAGTTTCATAACATCTTTCTGTATTGACAGATAGTAACTACACCAGTTAGGGTGAAGATTTAATCATGGAGGTTACTGTTGAATCACTATGTTGTATAGTTGAAACCAATATAATATTATATATCAACTATACTGCAATGAAAAACCATGTGAAAAAGGAAAAAGCTCAGTTGTCTTTTTACACTTCTCTGTAGTTTCCAAGTTTTCTATAATACATATTTATTACTTGTATAATAGAAATTCTGCCAATAACTTGTCATTGAACCTGGGATCACCAAGGAAACCTCCTTCATCTTTTACACCAAAGTGGCCTCCATTCCATTTGCCTTTAGCTGGTTATCCATAAGCCTCATTTGTTTATAGAAAGCACGGACGAGGAAGAGGAAGGAAGCACTTCAACTGTTTGCCTTCAGGTCTTTGCCAAGGAAGTGATTACGTCTTCCCGCATGTATCCTGTCAGTAGAGAGTTTAGTGACAGAGAACAGTAGGGTTTTGTATAGGTGGAGGGTAAAAATATTGTTGTTCCCTTTGCTCTGCCTCCACCTCCTTTGTCCAGTTAGTGTCTGAAGAGTTGAGAGCTGAGGCTAAGGTGTGGCATCATTTAGATTTGGCAGATGAAAACGTGTAACTCTAGGCCTCACTGGAAAAGAAAGTTTGCTTTGCTTGGTGGCAGAAAGCCCTCAGTCCTTCCTCTGTGCAAAGATTTACAGAATATAAAGGAAAGTCAGGTGGGCAGTTTCTTTGACTTTTGTGATGGTTCTTGTTTAAACATGCAGTGTC